TTTTATCCGAGTTATATTAACAATAAAATAATAAACATATTGGTCAAAAATTTTGACCGAATTAATTAAGTAATATTTGTTCTAATTTAGTTATATTTTTCGGTCAAAATTTTGACCGAAATAATAGTCTCCTTTTTTAAAAAAAATTGTACTAATATGATGCTTTCTTTTTTAAATTTTGTTTAATTTTCCACAAAACAATTTCGGTCAAGCATTTTGACCAAAATAATTGTCTCATTTTTTTAAAATTCTATTGGTATGATGCTTTCTTTTTGTAAATTTTTTAAATTTTTTATAAAACTATTTTGGTCAAGAAACTTGACCGAAATAATTGTTTTCCTTTTTTTAAAAAAAATTTCTATAGAAAATTACTGTGACGCTTTCTTTCCTAAATTTTTTTAATTTTCTATGATATTATTTCGGTTAATATGCTTGACCGAAATAAATCTCTCCTTTTTTTAAAATTGTATTAGCATTGCACTCTTTATCTTTTTCTTTTTTTTTTAATTTTCTATAAAACTATTTCGGTCAAGCATCTTAACCGAAATAATTGTCTCTCTTTTCTTTTTTTAATTATATTACTATGGCACTTTCTTTGCTAAATTTTTTTAATTTTCTAAGAAACTATTTCGGTCAAGAATCTTGACCAAAATTATATTGTTTTGGCTCCAAGAATGAAGTGAAATTTCTTAAATTTTTCACCAAAATTATTTCGGTCAAAATTTTTATCTGAAATTAATGTTTTGGCTCGACAAATCAAGTGAAACATTTTGAATTCTCCGCCAAAACTATTTCGGTCAAAAATTTTGACCGAAATAGTCTAAACACTTTAGGCACTTTAAATTGTATTTTACACATTTCATTCTTCCTTCTTTCTGCATTTCCATTCATTCCACCTTCAACGCCCATATTTCTCATCTTTCTCTTCCTTTTAATTACATCCCCTCCTTATTTCTCTTTCCTTCCATCATTTTCTTTCATTTCTTCCTTTTTCTCATCTTCTCTTTTCTTCACTTTCCCTTTTCTTTCATTCAAGCTTCTCATCCTCTCTTCCATTTTCTCACATTCTTTTTTCCTCATACATTCTTTCCTTTAGTTTCACCTCCTTAAATTTCTCTCATTTTCTTTCTTCCTTTACTTTTAATCTTATTACTTTATTTCTTTTACAATTTACAAGTTTGTTTCAATTAATATTGATATCAATTTTATTTTTTGCAGGATTTTATAGTAGAAATTAAAGGTATTTTAAGGAGGCATCTCATTTGGTACCTTTTTTTATTGTTTATATTTCGTTAAAATTTTATAATTTTTTTCTTTTTCATTAAGTTTCCCATTTAGTTTG